AGAGAGAGAGAGAGAGAGAGAGAGAGAACTAGTATCTTCGTAGGAGAGACATACGTACTATGTAGAGTGGCTGGCTGAAAGGTGGGGAAAATTGTGGGGTTTGTTGTGCCCATAAAGCCATCGACAGCGGGAGAACATGCTGCGGCTAAAGCTCATCATGTCGGGTTTGCCCGGCTGGTGGCTTAGTGGAGATGATAGTCGTCAGTACTCGCCAACAATCGAACCGCTGGAATGGGATCGAATGCTCCGTGATTCGGGCTTCTCAGAAATAGACATGATTCGCCGGGACTACGCTGACTCTACCAAGCAGTCAACTTCCGGCATGGTGTCGCAGGCCATGGATGAGATGGTAGAGTTCCCGCGAGAGCCACTGTTGTGCCCGTTCACGGTGCCGGATGTCCAAGACCTATTCATTATCGGAGGAAAGACCCTTCCCTTTCGCCAGATGGACAGAGGGGTCGCAAATCAACTTCGTAGCTGGACCCCGGAGATTCCTCTCACGGACAGCCTTCTCGCTCTGGAGGATGCCGGTCCAGAGCCCGGAGTCACCGTTGTCTGCGTGGAGGATCTCGATGAAACCGTGCTGCAGGCCACCACACCCGAAAAGCGGAAGGCGCTGCAATTCCTGTTCTCTAATGCAAAGCACATCCTGTACTTTATCCGGGCCGCCTACGAGGATTCGCCTTACTCTATGGCAATCTATGGTCTTGGCCGTACCATGACATTCGAACACCCGGGTCTTTAACTGCAATTTCTTGATATCAACAAACAGTCCAATATCAACGCGCGAATTATTCCTGAGGAAGCTACTTCGGCCCGTGACTGCTGAGACACTGGACCCCTTGTACCTGTGGACTCCGGAGCCGGAGGTTGCATCTCTCTCTTGTCGGAAACAGATCCAGCGTGTGATGTCCAACCGCCAACTTAATGACACTTTGAACTCAGATTGACGGCTGATTACTGAATTTGCCATCACAGCAGAATGGTAGATTGCCCTTTGCAACAGATAAGGGGACCACCCTTCTCTGTTAAAGGGAGTGACCAGAGAGATCCTTGTGGCGTTATCACCGACTCATTCCCGACGAGACACTATGTTTTCTGTGGCGCACCCAATGAAGGGCACTGATGGTTCTTGTTTTTATCTGTCGGTAAAGCGAGTACTTCGTCCCAGACTGTAGCCGCCGTCACCTCGCAGCTTGCCTCATCAATGTATACGGCCCGACCGAGATTGCCGTCTCCTGTTGTCGCGGCGAGGTGCCTTTGGGGTTTGACAGTCGTCGCAATGGTAACTACTGCCCAGTCGGTCGCACGCTACCGAATTGTCAAGTCCACATCGTCAGTCCCGATGGCAAGTCTCCCATCACTGGATTCCCAGGCGAAATATACATCAGTATTCTTGGAGTTAGACGAGGCTACCTAAGCCAACTCGAGTTGACAGGTGCCAAATACCTGTCCGTTACAACTTTCCCTACCGGCCTGTCCAATGTATCAGAGACTGATGTGATTTATCGAACTGGAGACCGTTGACGACTCCTAAATGACGGTCCTTGGTATTTCTCGGAAGACTTGGTGACTCCCAGATCAAATTAAGCGGACAACGCGTTGAGCTGGATGAAATCGCACATGCTCTGCTCCAAGCATCCAAAGAGAAACTCACCAATGCGCACGTCTGTGTACGTGGGACTGGCACCGATACTTCCCTCGTGGCCTTTGTAGTGTTCTCCAATGACCCTCTAGATGAGGAAGTCGACCGAATAACTTACCTGAAGCAGCTGCGCCAGAGAGTTCCTCTGCCCCAATATATGTGGCTTTCGATCATGATTTCCCTGGAAGAGCTACCACTTAACGTCAATGGAAAGGTCGACAGAAAAGCCCTTGATGTAATTGAACTTCCTAACTCATCCGTTGACGACCAGGTGTTGGTAGATCTCGACGAGGATGAGATGACACTCCTTGGGATGTGGGAGGAGGTCCTCCCAGACACGGCGGCAAAGGGCCTCAAGATCACCAAGGATACTGATTTATTCGAAGCTGGAGGCAACTCCCTTTCCCTAGTGCGGCTGCAGTCATTCATTAAAGAACGGCTAGGAGTCCAGGTTCCCTTGGTGGAGTTGGTTGAATCCTGCTCACTTGAAGCGATGGCTCGGCGACTCTGGTCAAATCGTTTGGTTTCTTCAAGCCACTTCACATGGGAAGGCGAGGCGTGCGTACTGGAATCAGATCAGGATTTTGGAATACGCCAATCTCGAAGCTGATCCTTCCAGTACAATTGGCGATGCTGGCAGAATCGTGATCCTCACCGGTGCTTCCGGATTCCTTAAGAAACAGGTTCTCCAAGGCCTCGTTTTGTCTTCCACAGTATCCGAAGTGCACTGTATTGCCGTTCGCTCTCAAACATCCATGGAGAAATTAAACGCGATTGGGTCTCCCAAGATCATCGTTCACACCGGAGACCTGACTCTTCCCCGTCTAGGGCTAGACATCATAACGGCTCGGTCACTTGCATCAAGGGCCAACATCATCGTCCACAACGGTGCTCATGTGTCCTTCCTGAAATCTTACAGCTCACTAAAAAAGGCCAACGTGGGTTCAACCGCCGAGTTTGTTCGCCTCGCAAAACCACGTCGCATCCCCATTCATTTCATCTCCTCGGCCGGCGTCGCAGGATTCGTTCCGCGCAATGAGCTGCCCCTTCGGGAGGTGAGTGTAGCTGCCTATCCACCGCCTCGGGATTCGAGTGCACACGGCTGTCAAATCGCAAAGTGGGTGAGTGAGCGTCTCCTTGAAAAGGCAAATCAACAATACGGTCTTGATATTGTCCTGCATCGACCAACGGGGATTGTGGGGGAGGGGGCTCCCGGCGCCGACATTCTGGACGATCTCCTTCACTATTCGAGGCAGCTAGAGTTGGCACCGGACATGGATGGCTGGGATGGCTATCTACATTTAGTTGACATGGAAGCGGTAGCGCAACGGATGGTGGCTCTTTTGGCGTCGTCAAACGTCTCTGAAACTGGCCCAGGCGCAGTTCGTGTGGTTCATACTTGCAACGCCGGTGCCTTTTCCAGTCCATAAACTGGCAGAGTACCTAGGAAGTGCACACGGGAGGCCGTTGGAGACATTACCCATGACCGAGTGGATTGGTCGTGCCATGCAGGCGGGAATGAACGAAATGGTGGGAATGTATTTGCAGGAGGTAACCTCCAAACGCCTCGGATGGTATCCCCCGGTAGTGTCAGATTCTGTCAACTAGAAGTATCTCTCTTTTGTTTCCCTCAAAAGCTCCTGTCAGATTTGAATTATTTACCAATTCAATAAACTTCATAATCACTATGGATCGGTGAATACGGGGCACAGGGGACACAGTATCTTTCTGGCGCGAGCCGTTGGGGGATCCTAGATAGTTTTGGCTAGTTGTTTTGATTTGGGCGCACGGCTTGTGAGCGCGTTACTTTCAGTACTGGTCCAGAGAGTATTTGGAAAGAGACCGGTGGCTTGCTACACCAGATTAGCAGTATCCGATCAATCACACATGCTTTTGTGTCATGGTTTAGGGGATATACTTGTGAAGCAAGTACGTGAGTTGGAAAGAAGACGGAAACTAACCACTTCAATAGACATTGGTGAATGCGTCTCAAAAAAATCATTACCATGTAATCAAAACTATCATGTAAGTCACTGAATAGAATTTATAAGTGCTGAGGACTAATTCCACAAGACGGGGACTTGTTTTCTTTTTGGGACACTTCATCGAGTGCCAGGATTGCCACTTCATTTCATTCTACAGGGACTTAGATGAGGTGAGTGTTGCCCTTCAGCTGAAGTTCTCGAGGTTGCCGGCGGATATGTTTAGGTGGTACGCAGGTTCATCTGAGCTCAAATCACGAAGGTCTACTTCCGTATGCCGTTTCTACATTGGCTCGGACCATTCAGGTTATAGGAAGGCAGCACAAAACTTGCTGCAGCTTTGCTCACCCAGATGATGAGAGAAACTGGCAGTAAAGTGCTTGAACTGCTCCAAGCTCCTCAAATAATCATCTCATAGTCTTTAGTTGTGCACATGATTAGTACATGATGTTAGCTCAGGCAGGCGCTTAAGGGCAACGGTCACTTTCTCTGGGGGATTGCTCAGGACACGCACTTTTGTGCTTACTCTACGCTTCCGGGCTGCTCAGTGACCGAAAAAGCGGCGGTGCAAACAGAACAAACTGCTATTCCTGTCTGATTGGTCATGTGACATGGAACATTCAGCCAATGACGTCGATATCATTTTCTATTTCTATAGAATTTACGATGGTCGACTCTAAGGGCCGGGGGGACCTTCAAAACTATATGGAATACAATTCCATTGCATCCAAGCCCTGGTGGCTTGAAACGCGATGCAGTTGCGTCGTAAAACAGCCTGGCAGCACTTGTGCGACATCTCTCGACCTGGGACAGTGGGAAGGCTTCCGCGACGTCGTGTACGGACAGAGGTACCTGGTCTGCTCTGCCGTCCAACGCGGACAGCCATGGCTCGAATCCCGGGCTAGAGTCTTGCAGTAAGAGAGTTATGTCGCGTTGATAAGACCGGGGATATGGTGAGATGACGCCGAGGTCCGCGGCTGCAACAGTAAAATGTTAGAAATTACATATGTTTGAAGAAAATCCCCGGAACACCAGTTGCATCTCAGACGAGCACAGCCAGTGCCCCGCACAATACCTACAATCTCCTGAAAATACTTTTTTTAAACTCTGTCTCTGTGTGTTTCTCTTTCTTTCCCACCCTTTTCTCTCCCTTGTTGTTTCTTCTCCTACTGTGTGTTTTGTCTTTCTGTATGCCTTCGCCCGCTGTAGGACCTTAGTATTATTTTCCCCGATAATGAAAAGCAGAGAAATTAGAAGGCTCAATTGAACGTCAAAGATGTACATACAAAAGCCGAAGGTACTAATGAGAATAAAGATGAAAATGGTGTCGAGCTGAAAAACGAAATGGGGAAAAGTAAAGGCAATATCTTCGGCGCAATAGAGAATTTTAAAAAGTCAAACCTTCAAGCCGCATCATACCATCGTACACGCCTATTTTCCATCCTTATACCTCAACATTCAGTACAATTTTGGTCGGGCGTGTCCCACAAAACAGTGCCGAATAAGGAAGCCCTTGCACGATCAGCATATCCATCACCAGATTCGATCATTGGTGGGGTGGCCGATCGAGCAAGACATAAAGTGGCCGAGGCATCTTAAGCCGCCAGGAGGGGCTCCTTCTCCGCGTTCAAGGCAGGGTGCTCAATCGACTCCGCCACAGCCACGGGCTCCTCCTTCGCAGCAACGGGCTCCTCCTTCACAGCAACGGGCTCCTCCTTGGGTGCCTCCGGGAAATCCGTGGTCTTAAATGCGGGCTCGGTGTCGATCTCCTTCTTGATAACGGGCTCCGGGGTGGAAACCTTGGTCATCTGCGGCGATACGGAGCGACGCTGGCCGATGTATCCCTGGGCCTTGGCGCTGTAGTCATCAACGTACTGCTTCATCAAGCCCGTCGCATGGGAGGTACGTTCCTCAGCAAGGTCCTTCAGTTGGTGGGCCTGGGAGTTAACAACTTCTTGGACGTGTTCAATCTGCGCATCGATGACTTCACGGTTGTTCATGTAGACCAGAGGTCCAATGTAAGCGATGATAACGGCGATCAGAGACAGGCCCCAGAATGGAAGCCATTTGATCAACCAATAGGCGCTGAAGGCGGCAGCAAAAGCCTGTCCGGGTGAGAAATCTATTAGTTTAGGGCACTTCCAGATCGATAGGCTCATCACTTACAGCGACAGTGTGGACGATGTTCTCGGCAAACAGGATGCGCTGGAATTCGAGGAGAACGAAGTTAAGGAGCTGCTCGAGATCCTCATAGACACCCTCAATGGTCTCCTTCGGGATAGTGTAGTATTTACGAGGGCGGAAAGAGCTTGCGAGGCCCTGCGACAGCACGAGTCTACCACCGAGCTCCGCCGCAGCGGTGACTAGACAGGTCAATTATTGCCCCAGTTTATATCCAACGAGAGATCGCAACTCACATCCCAAAGCCACGTAGATGAACTTAAAGAACCAGCGGAGCAGAGGCAGGTAACGGGCGGCGAAAATAAAAGTCACGACGGTCGCAAACGAAGCAGCGGTAGCTCGGGGTTGTTCCCACTGGTCACAGGTTAGGTTTATCGGGCCCATCACGGTGCAATGGCTCACTCACGCTCAGGAGGCTGTACAACAGGGAGTGGTAGTCTGGAACGAATTAGCCGTGATTTTGTGGCGTTGTGGACTATCTTCACCACATACAAGTCAGGTGTTGGCCGGTCGCAGTTGTGGTCGAGGGCGTCACACGAGCGTTTTTCAATTCGCGTAGCTCTTGTTCAGTACGGGCTGCTTCCGACTTGATGTGATCAACAACAGGCCCTATGAAAGAATTTGTCAGGTCAATTGTCCCGTTGCCACTGGCTTTTAAGCATCGCGGGTGTTGTCAAATTACCATTAGTTACGGCATTTTTGATACCTAACGATAAGTGTTAGCATCAGATTGTGGAACGTTTCCAACGACCCTTCTCAGGGAATTTTGAGAATGGAAAACTAAGATTCAGTCAGCTATTGCTCCTGTACAAGTCAATCGCGATCCAATGGATTTCCAGCGTACCTTACTGCTTCCATTGGTGTCGGGATAGCTCACGTCACCGAGTCTTGTGCTTTCGGCCATGTCGGAAAGATGTTTGTGCCGCCCTGAAGCTGGGTAAGATAAGAAATTACAGGAAAAGAGAAAGATGAAAGGTGGATTAAAATAAGCACCACTTGTATGGTGGAGGGAATTGAACGAACTAATGAAGAAAAAAAGAGCGAAAGAGAAGAAGAAAAGAGGGGGTGCAGGGTAAGATTCTGGGTGGCCTGTGAGGGAGAAGAAGATAGGAGAAGGTGAGGGAGGGTGATGCAATTGACAAGCGAGAGAGCCCCCGGAGCCTGAAAGGGTCGTGTGAGGGAAACCTACTACTATGTAATTACTATTCTGACTTGCGTCTACTCCGCTTTTTCTTTTCTTTGCTCAAAAAGAAATCCTGTTACTTAGTTGGTTGATGGTCTTCACAGATGGTACTAGTATGTTGTTTTTGTCGACTTTTATTTCTGATCGTCTTTGCTTTCATTTCTTTTAATATTTTTTTTAGAGGTATTTTTGAATGACTGCCTATAATCGTCATTGTTTGAAACAAACGAACCGCTACGTAAGAATTACGGTACCTTTACCGCGGTTCCTTTTCTTAGTGTGTCTCAAATTCCTTTTAGTTCTTCTTTTCCGCCAGTCCAGACCAATAAACATGTGATCTTTTTTTACTTTCCTTATGAACTGAGCTGCCAACTTAACCTTCCTACTTAAATGTTAGCGGCCGCAAGTGGTTGTTGATCCAAAGACTTCAATAGAAAATAGGCAGACAAGGAAAATCACCAGGGAAGAAAAAACAGGGGGGGGAAGTATTAAAAAGAAAAAAAAAAAAAAATATCAAAATTAAACAAAAGAAGCTGAAAAACATCGTGTTGTTCTTATACGGCGGTAATGGACAAGTCACAAGTGTGAAATATAAAACCTCCTGGTTCCTTAGGTGGCAGCTCGGAGCGGCTCTAGACGAGCAACGCGCTACTGACTTACTTTATAGGATCTAGCGGTCCGCACCGTGCTGCATGTAATGTTGGTCTCTAAGCAATTAGTATAGGAGGATGATTCCCAATCAACAATCTAGGCAGGGTTCATAATTCAGTCATCCTTGATGTTACCGATCCAACAGCAAAACGGTAGATTTGTTGTCTAGGAGGTATACATCGTGTAAAAACAGATGTGGTTATTCTAGCAAAGAATTCATGACCCGGCTACCGTTTCCGAGGTAGATCTAATTCAATGAGCGGTGTCTTCCGTATATTTAGAAACCATTGTGTTGTAGCCAGCGCTGCGATCCTTTTGAGCGTTGCAAACGTGGCTAGTGGAGAGCTGCTTACCCTGCCCAACGATGCGATATCTGATCGATTCCCCGGGTGAGTTGTCATATGCGCGATACAGCTTGGGCCTCGAACACCGC